CTTTGTCAATCATTGCACCTAATCCCATTTCCAGTAGGCCTGGTTTAGACATGAGAAGGAGATGAGAACGCAAAGCCTATACTGGGGGAATTTATCCCCACGACAGCTCTTGAATCTATCACAACGTCCCGAATAGTCATGGCTTCATAGGTTGCCAACCGGTATAGTATATTGAGCCTACATAGCACTGATGATCAAGCTGCAATACCTCAAAGCGCATAACATTCGCATTAAGGTGATACCTGAAACAGTTAGTTACAACGTGTCCGACAAATTTCTGGTCGCGTGTGTGGCACGCATAGACGGATCGTTTGACTTTGGCAGACACTTGTACTCGTTATGGCTGTGATCATGCCTGATCTAACCGACCTCAATGATGTCACGGACGGTACCTCGCCACGTGTGACAATTAGCGGCTGGGAATCTGGAATGCTCCACCCATTCTCTTCTCTAGCGACGGAGGCTGAACATCGAAGATACAAGAACTGCTTCCATGTCTTGACGGGCCAGGTCTTGAGTTGCCCACCTCTTCGACACCTCCAGGTGGACTGCGACGCCGGATCGAGGTTAGCATAAAAAATCTCGTGAGGCGGACGACGGGGAACGTACCCAAACCACCTCAGTCGTCTTTCTTGGATGGTCTGGCATATCCACGCGATACTGTAGCGGCGAGCGCGGACTGTCTCATTTGAGACTAACTCTGTATACTTCACTCAGACAGCGATGGTCAAAAACCTCCAGTCTTCGCTCATCTTCAGCGCGCAAAGCTCAGCATTCACACCCATAGAGGACTGGCCTGCCGGATGCACGGTACATCCGGATCTTCGTGGCGATGGAGATGTTGCGTCAGATCAATAGGCGCTTTTGGAGGATTGAGAAAATCCGGCGAGCAGCATCGACTCGGGAAGAAATGTCATCCTTACTCTGTCCATTTGGTAGCAGCCTTGCCCCGGGGCATTTAAAGCTGTCTACTTCTTGAAGTTGACGGCCATTAATCCACAGAGATGCCTTCTCCTGGTCAGGGATGCAGTTCGAAAATAATTTAGTCTTCCCGGTATTTATGGACAAGCCAATCGACACAGCGATCTCATTCACTCGTGACACCATAGACTGTAGACCACCAACGCTTGAAGCTAGTGAAGCGATATCATCGGCGTAGTCGAGATCAGTTAACCGGCATCCGGGTGCAAGCTCAACACCGTCCTCTTCACGTCGGGCCATCTCAAGAATCCAGTCAGACACTGTGCCGGTGCCCTTCACCGGTCGTCTTGAGTTTGCTTTGCCTTAACCCAACGGAAGGACACGGGGAAGCGAATGCTGCGAAAGCCACTGTAAGCAAAGATAACGGAGACAGTCAGGCAGTCAGCACGTTGCGACGTCCTTCTTCTATAGTGTATTAATCGTGTGGCCGTTGCCGCAACCTCACGAGTGTCCAACCAATTATCGTGCCTTTGCATGATGAATGAGTTTGGCTTGTGGGTCTGCCGTGTGCTAGTCTATAACCTGCCTTTTTGTCCTTTGTTTTTTTCGGCGCCGCATATTATTCTGGTCTGAAAGACCGCTGCTAATGTCTTCGGAGGCTTCAGTCTTGCCAAAAGCTTCTGAATACGAGTGTCTAGCCATCCAAATGCCAAGTCATTGTAGCCTTTTATCGTGAATCTATCGTCCCTGTCTATGAGTTCATGTATGAGTGTCACTGTAGGAAAGCCAGTACTTGTGTAAGGGAAAGAGGACGTCTGTGTCCGTGGAACTTCGCCAATACAAGAGTTGATGCTTCAAGGCCTCCTCTTTGTCTGTTACTCTATATCCGGTAGGATTGCACACTACCATGTCAAAATGTCAATTTTTTTTACAAAATTACACCTAAAAAATTGCATGGTCACCTGTTTTTACTTCATTTGCCCTCCTTTTTTTACTTCGTTCTTCTGACAACTGTCACTGCGTGTCCCTCAAGTTCTTTGTCTCACATAGAACAACGTCCTTTTCTTTTAGGCATCGGGTGGCTGGTTTAAATATCTACACCGAAAAATGATGCGAATTCGCCTAGGAAAAGTCTCCGAAACCACAGGTAACTTTTCGTATTTGTGTATTTTTTTTCGGACTGCTCACTCCCCTTGTTCTACTTTCTCTTTATTATCTATTTACTTCCTCCCCTCATTTCCCAGGCTGTCTTGACGAGTTACGCCCACGGTGTCCGCTCGTTAATCCGTCCGGTGTAGTTGACATCGAGAAGTTGTGGCAGCTCTATTGGAATATTTTGGTCGTGTCTGCGCCCATCCATCAATTACTTACGACCTCCTTTAGGGATTCTGCGGTTGGTTCCATTTCCCTTGGCTACAGATTACTTTATAACACACTTTGTTTTATATATATATATATCATATGACAGGAAAAAAATGTCTGGATATGCACCAATTTTTTTTTCATTAGTGTAAATCTGACTCACGAGGCGGAGTACTGCACATACTTATAACACATACTTATTTCGCATACTCAATATACTACTCCTTATTTGAAAGTAGACATACTTTATTACTATTTGGACTCCGCCAGCTTTTTGGCTCCGCTTGCATGTAATTAAAGTATTTTTTTCTATTTATCGTTTCTATCCATGCTTTTTTATCCACCTTGTTACCAATAGGGAGGTCAAAGACATCCGCCTATCTTTCCTTCAGTTAACTGATACCAACGCTGATATACCATACTTGACAGCGCAGGTAGAAGCTAAAAATCCTCTAATTTTATTGGTCTATAGGTTTGCTTGTTTAACCAATAAGAGTTGTTCTTATATTCTTCTTGGCCTATAGGCTTCCCCTGCTAACCAATAGGAGTTTTTATTGATCTTTCTTGTTCATTTCGCAAACTTTTCACTTACATTTTTAGTTCGGTAAAACAATTTCTAGCGGCTTTACTTTATTTTCTGCTGCTTACTTATCACGCATTAACTGCTCGTTAACCAAGCATTACACCTTTAACCACGAAATTCGTCAGACATTTAGGCTGGGATATTTTCGCCATTGGGCGACCCTACGATTTATTCCGGCCTTTATTGCATTTCGTCCGTTCGTTCTAGCGTTCTTGGTCGTCCCCTGGATTTCAGTTCCTGTCCTCTTTATCTTTTCGTCTGACGATGTGTGCTTGTTAGTAACCCTGAAACTCGGGACTAACACTCAGCGTTTGTTAACCTTTATATGATCGTTACCAGGGCTTGCCTACGAACAGGTTACTTTCAATGTTT